AAATCTCGATCATGAAACCATCTGGATCGTGGAAAAATAGCTGATCCACGTGTATTCCTCCTTCCTCTACTAACGCCTGCACGTAATTAATTCCCATATCCTTCAACTTCTTCTCCACTGCCCCCATGCTCTCGCACTGTTCATCCAACAGACATAGAACACTCACAATCACATTTCATTTAATTTCTCAATGTGTGTGTATATTTTTTCTAATCAATTGAAACAGGACTAATGTTGATCAATTAATTCCTAACTTTTTACCTGAAACGATATATGATTATCCTTCGGATTAATCGCGCCCTTTTTCGGCAAATTATCCGGTTCTTCCGATTGCAAGAGATGGATTCCAATGCCGAAACCATACAGCCTAAAATCCGCCGGATCAAAACCAAAATCATCATCACAGAACTAAAACAGAGCGAGAATGAGAACAATTCAAGGATTCAGTTCGGTTCTAAAGAATTAAGTTGAAGAAATTTTACCAAGCGCCATCGAAATTGAAGGATCCAGGCCTGCGAATGGGGAAAAAACCTAGAACATTTTGGTAAAAATCAATTGATTCTTCCATTGATCTACACAGAAGCGAGATATGGTTTAGCGATTTGAGATGCAGAGGATTTTCTCCAGTTTCCTTCATTGAAAATCGAAGAAGAGAAAGGGATTTTTCTAGGGTTTTTGGGCCAACGAGGAAGCAAGAAGAGAAAAGATGGAGAAAGAAGGAAGAAATGACAATGGACAGAGTAAAACGGGGAAAGGTGGGAGGGTTTATATAGAACTCCTTGATATTATACATTATGCCACGTATCTTATTTTGCTCACGTGGCACCCAGCTGTGGATATGACACGTTGCTGACTCGGATCTCAGCTAATACAAACAATATTATTTATTATACTATACCACACCAGAGACTCCGGGTGTATGTTAAAGCCGACAATCCGAACCGATCGAGTTAATTTTTGAACCCCAATACATTTGATTTGGGTTTCAGGTTCATTACATAAACTTACGAGTTCATCTGAATCTAACAAATATTTGGTAGAGCGAAAAATCGTTTATGTGTCGGTTCAACTCTAGTTATATATATACTTATTTTTTTATATTATTTATTTATTTAATTTTATTATTTCGAGTAAAAAAAACCTACAATTTTTTATAATATGAATAACTAAAAAAATAGCTATCCATATATTTTATACTATTTTTAAACCGAGTGTTAAATAATCATCCATAATTTTTATTTTAAACTAAAGAATATAGTTTATGATAGGTTTGTTGATCATGATTTAGGACATAAGTTATAAATATATTTAAGTAATTTTAAAGCATATTGTTTTTATTTTACAAATTTTTAAGTAAATTTTTTGGAACGGTCAATTTCTATATTGGTGTTGATTGGAAAGCAACTTTTAAAGTTTTTTTTTTTTTTTCTTTCATCGGAGCTTAGTAAAAGGTAAATGATTTTAAATGTTGATTTTTTTAAAACTTATCCAAAATGCTATTATTGTTGTTCTAGTATCTACTCTAGCTTTTAGATCAACCATTATTAGGAGAGGAAGGCTCTTAAATATTTTTGTAGTTTTTTTTTACACGTAAAGCAGTGTACAATAAGTGTCGATATTTAATTATATGACAATGTTGAGCTATGTTAAGATACTAAAAAGCTCATTTGTTGTTATAAAAAATTTATTTATTTGAACGATAATATATTATTTAAGTTCGTGAATAAATAAATAAAAATTAATTAAAATGTAATAAATTTTAGGCAATTAAGCTTAATTATTTTATAATTAATTAATATGATAATTTATTTTGATTACTTTTCTCACACCTAATTCACTAAAAATTTAGCATGACGTGTAGAGTTTTAATATTAATAAAAGAAAAAAAATTATATAACTATTTTTCTAATATTATATTTTGTTAGGTAAAGCAATAGGACCATATTTTTTAATATCCACATGCTCAACTAATTGAAAAAATTAAAAATATCCAAATGCCCGACAATTGAGTAAATTCAAAATAAATAAAAGGGTTAAAAATAATAATTGCATGAAGGAGATGGATTAACAACAACTTTAGGCATATAATATATAGTCTATAAATACAATATTTTAAAAGAAAAAAAACAAAAGAATAATAGTGGATATGATTAGACATTGCATTGAAATTCATAATAAGGCCAAACCAAAGTGGTTATTTCACTCTACCAATCATAATATATCCATAACTTTTTTTTATTTTATTTTCAAATATAAACAAAACCCTAACTTCACTTCACTCCCTACCATATCCAATCAATTTTGTTTTTTCTTTCGGGTTTTGATTATAGAATAGTAGATTCATTTTGATTCATGATTTTGGAAAGATTCGTGTTTATATAATCAGATGTAACAGATATTTTAAAAAATTGTTTTGTATTTGAATCGAAGAAAGAAACCTTTACTGACAGTCTTTTATGTGTTTTAGATACTCTCTCAGGTCCTAATATAAACTCTACCAAATCTCGTCGAAGCTTTGTAAGTGTATGTGAGCTTGAAGTTGGAGCTCACGAAACTTCTAGAATAGAGCTCCAGAGTCTTGCTATAAACCCTACCAAATTTGATTGAAAGTCCAGTGATGCTCACAAAGCTTCTAGAACAGTCTCTACGTGTTTTAGATACTCTCTTAAGTCTTGCTGTAAATCCTACCCAATCTCGTTGAAATTCCACAACTCTATATACTCACGGAGCTTGTAGAACAGTCTCTACGTATTTCACATGGTAAATTACTCGAGTCTTAGTGCATTTAAAAATTTAAAAATTAAAGTTAAAATTAAGATACAATAAATGGAGGCTTAATTATGTAGGACCTCATGCTCCAACCACGTGTTTTTTTGTGACTGAAATTAATTGCGAAAATAAATAATGGATAATTCAATTATTATTATTGTTATTAAAAAAAAAAGACTTACTGAGGTGTCAATTAGCTGTAATTTTGACGTGGCAATTTTCAATATTTATAATTGCCCAAAATTTTATGGCAAACAGTAAAGGTCATTTTCGTCCACTGAATTTAGACTAATTAAATTTGTATAATAAATGTTCTAATAATAAATTTATTTACCGTGACATGAATTTCATGCCTTAATTTAATTTAAGATAACTATTATATTTTTAACTCTGTAGTTCAATCTAAAATTGATTTATTTTTTAATTTAACTAAAATTTTGAACATATTATAAAATTTATTATTTTACTTATAGAGTAAGTTATTGAATAAAAGAAAAAAAAAACGGCAGCATTTAAAGACATTAAATTATTATGGAGAGATATTGTTAATTGAAAAAATAAACCAAAAAGGTCAATATCGAGAATTATTTTATTAATTTCTAGTTCATAATATCGAGAATTAATTGTTTTGTAATATTTAAAAAATTAGGAATCAGACAAATAATAGATAAGGGTTTGAATTTGGGAAGTTGGCAACAATATGTAATCCATGAGATTGGAAGGACTAAGAAGCAAATACGAAAAGAAATTTTCAATTAATTCCATGCTACGTAACCTATTAATATAAATACTATTAAAAATATTATTTTAAAAGACGTCAATTTTGATGTTTGCCACAGTAGGGTGATGTTTGCCCCATAGACTTTAATGCTTAAATTATCACATATGAATCAGATGTAACAATAACAATAAGGGTATGTATGTGACCATTATAATATTTTCGTTTATTTTTTTTTTTTTTTGAATTAGGTTTAAGGGAGGTTCAATTTACCGTGGGTAAGAATAATTATAATTTAAAAGCTTTTATCTTTTTTATTTTTTATTTTTTACTCGGGGTTTAAAAATAAGTGGAGATAAAAATCTAAATTATAATTTTTTTTTTTCCAAATTTTATTTATGGAATTTTTAAAGATATTATTTAGTTGGTGTGATCCATAATTTCTTTCCTAAGCCCAGCCCATAATAGCAAGCCCAACTTTGAAGAAAAAAAATGGACGGGAACATTTATTTATTTATTAATATTTACCTTTATATTTTTATAATAGAATTAGTTTTTTTTAATGGCCCTTTAAAAATTGATTCTCATTAGAACTAAATTTAGGTTGAATTTGTGAATTTTGTCTAGATTAATTAATGGATAATTATTTTTTACCGTACCTTATTTTTTAGCCTATTTTAATTTTATTAAAATTACTGATGTTAGAGATTTTTATTTTTATTTTTAAATATTAAAATTTAAAATTTAAAATTTAATGGGATGAAATTAAAAGTTGAGTTTTGACCGTCTAAAAGTGAATAACGGCATCATATCGCATGAGTTAATATATTTGTATATTCTTTTTGACGGCTCATTACAAAAACTCTAAAATTAAATGTGCTAAGTTTGAAATCTTGTTGATATAAATTCATAATCTTCACTTTAGATCTTATCGCATGAGATTGTCGGGACCGTTAGATGCTGAATTTTGGGCACGAGACACTACAATGGGAGTGTCGAGTAACTCAGTGCAGTAGGTGCACTCTTCATTAAGGACAACGTTCTACAACGTGCCTCAATCCATTACAGCTAAACTACTTTTTGGAAAATAAATTATTTTCAAAAAAAAAAAAAAAATCCATTAATGTCATAACACTTATAATAATAATAATAGTAATAATAATAATAAATTCTCTATGGTAAGTCGATCATATTTTTTATTGATGAAAAGTTTTAAATATTAAATCTAATTATGGAAAAAAAAAAACATTGGAAGTTGTAATTATATCTTAAATACTAATAATAAATTAGTTAACAAAATTAACTAAAAGTTTAAAAAATAAATTTAAATTTGAATTTTTAAATACGAAAAATAATTTAAAAATTCTTTTAACTTGTAATCGAGAAAGATTTAAAACAAAAACAAGCAATTAATTTATATTTGGGCGTAAATGAAAATAAAATAATAATTTTTTAAAATTTAAATTATATAGAAACACGCGGACAGTGCGAGCAGAGAAGTATTTTTTCAGAACAGACTTCATTTGAAATCTGTAGAAATTTGAAACGATTCACAGAGTTCATTAAGAATTAAATTCCAATTGTTGGCTGTTGCTATGAAATTACCTTGAAATCCAGGTTCCAGAAGAACATGCATGGATTTCTAAGGATTTCTTTACAAGATCTGCCTTCTCCCGAAACCGACGCTTCAACCATCGATCTCAAATTCTTAACCATCAGAAGAAGGAACCGCAGATTTTTCAAAACGTTATCGAAATCCCCTGTTATTGTTTTTCACGCAATCTTCCGATCGTGTAGCAGCTAATTAGCCCTCTTCAAATGCCGCCCACCCCCAAAACATTTCCCCCATTGATTCGATTCATGGATTCATTGTTCTTGATTAGATGCTTTCCCCCTGTTATTCTCCTAACCAAAAGAGAGAGAAACAGCGAGGGGTTGGTTGGTGACAAATTTATGCTTCAAAAGAAGGGTTAAGTAATGGGTTTTAGGTCTATCAACTGGTGGTTAAGCAACCAACCACCATCGCGATGCATCGCCGCCACCATCTTCTTCTTGTTGTTCCTTTTGTTTTAAGGCTTTTATTTGTTTTTCTTTCTGTATGTAGCTTTTTTCACACGTGAGAGAAGGCATTGAATGATTGGGATTGACGATGACTTCTTCCCTTACTTTTAACCTGTAAAATATTTCTTAGTTGTTGGTGCTGCGCTTCTCGTTAATATATACTCCTTTTCTTTAATGTGTTCTTAATAATTTATTGCTTTTTTGTCGAGTTGGTGTTGGAGTCGTTGTTCCAATTATGAGGAAGAGAGAAGAAGTGAAGAAGCTGCGTTCTTCGTCTTTATTTGGGGGGTTTTGTGATTATTGATTGATTATATTAATGGGGTTTCTTAAATCCTCTTGGGATTAGTGATTCTTCTCCATTTTGGGAATCTGGGTCTTCTTAATTCTTGTTTCTTCCCTACAATCGCATAATTTCTTTTGTGTTCTGTAACTTTGATTCTTTGATTGAAAATCTACTGATGAACTTCTTTATGAAAGTGGGTTTTGTTTGTTTCTTCTGTTTGGGAACTTTTTGATTCTCTTGCTTCTTTTGTTGCTTCATCAGTTTCATGTGTTTTTCTTTTGAATCTCTTGTTTGTTTGATCAGTCTCTGTTGGTTTGCTGGGCCATGATTCTTGGAAGATTAAGAGCTGTTTTTCATTCAGATGACATATTTTCCTAGTTTAAGCAATCCAAGAGAGTCCACGTTGGGTGACCAAAAACTTGGTTCTTCTTGCCAAGAACAGCTGCTCTGTTCTGGGAATTTGATGATGTTTATGAATCATCAAGACCCTTCTTGCGGTGATTACTCTGAGATTTTTTCTGGGGTTTCTTCAAATTATGTTGAATCTGTGGGAGATAGAAGTAATGGTGAAATGGGTTTCATTCCACCGGTTGTGGGAATTTTAGATCACTCAAATTTTCAATGTCAGGGTGTTTCACTTAGCCTTTCCACACACTCACCTTCTGTTGTTTCATTGCCTTCATTTCCTTCCCAATATCAGACCCGTGCCTTGCCTTCTTCATTTATCTGTGCACCTCCTTCGATCTTTGAGCAAAGGTCGAATCCGAAACTGTGTATGTCTGATGCAAAAAATGGTATGTATATGTCGGTTGCTGCTGCGAATTTGGTTTCGAATTCGATATACATTGAAGCTGCACAGCAGTTGCTTGATGAAGTTGTTAGCATTGGGGAAGCTTTGAAGGAGTTGAAGTCTAAGAAACTCAAGGGTTCTAATGATCTGACTGGGGAGATGTGTTCCGATGCGACGGATTCGTTGCTTGCGAATTCGTCTGGCGATCTATCGCCTACCGAACGACAGGACTTGAAGAACAAAAACTCGAAGCTGTTGTCCTTGTTGGGTGAGGTAAGCCAACAGGTTCTTGATGTTCTAGCATCAGTGTTTGTGTTTCATTTTTGTTGCATCTCTTTTCATGATGATCTTTCCTGTTGTTTCTATAAAAACTTGCTGACATTTGTTGTAGTTGCTATTGTTGTTTCATTAGCTGTTAAGGATTGTTTTTGTATACATGTTTGGTTGGTGTGTTTCCCAACTGGTTCGATCAAACGTTTTGCAGGTCGATCGAAGATACAAGCAATACTACCAACAAGAGCAGTTCTTAGCATCATCGTTTGACCTGGTAGCAGGCCGTGGGGCTGCAGAGTTCTACACTGCACTTGCACATTGGACTATTTCGTGTCACTTTCGACGCCTGCGAGATGCCATCAATGCACAGATTAAGACCACAAGAAGAACCTTAGGGGAGCAAGATGCTTCACATTCTGGCCAAGAGGGCATTCCTCGTCTCCGCTTTGTCGATCAGCAGCTCAGGCAACAGAGAACCCTTCAGCAGCTCGGCGTCACGTCACATAGTTGGAGGCCTCAACGAGGACTACCCGAAAGCTCCGTGTCGATTCTTCGTGCTTGGCTGTTTGAACACTTCCTCCATCCGTATGCGCTTTTAACTATTATTAGTACATATTCTCAACATGTTTACCAAGGCCTTACTGTTCCATTTGTTTTGGCTACTGTCACAGATATCCCAAAGATTCAGAGAAACTTAAGCTAGCAAGACAAACTGGCCTGACTCGAAACCAAGTAATGTCTTCAATCCTGGACCTAAAACTCGATTTTTTGCACCCTCTATTTGTACAAACTCTTAATACCTTCAATTCGGTTCGTTTAGGTTGCAAACTGGTTCATAAACGCGCGTGTTCGGCTATGGAAACCGATGGTCGAAGAGATGTACAAAGAAGAATTCGGAGACACGAACATGGACATCAAATCCTCACCAGAAAACGCATCCAAACCATCATGGAACAACAACTCACTCTTCTCCGAGGACAGGTCAGGAGACAAGTTACACGACAACACGAAGTCAGCAGCAAGCAACAACGAGCGAGTTCTCTACTGTCCGTGTTCTACCGACGACATGATCAAGCCGAGCAACTTCTCAGTCGACGGAGATGTTTCACTAGCACTGGAGCTGAAGCACTGCGAAGGCGAAGAATTCGGCATGTTCGGAAGTAGTAACAATAGAATCGTCGGTTCTATAGAGCTTGAGACACAAGATTTCCAATGCAGGCTCCCAAGCTCAAATATGTTGCATGATTTTGTAGTATGAAACTTTGATATACATGTATATAAAAAAAAGGGTATAATAGATATTATTGGAAAATTGTGGATATAATTGCAAATAAATGTAATTTTGTTTGGATTTTTCCAAATAAGGAAAGGGATTTTAATGTAACACTTTAATTCAAGTTCTTATAGTATTAGAAAGAAATTTTAATTTTTGAATTTTATTTCCTTTTTTGGGTTTTGTGGATCATATTGAAAGACCCCTCTAGTAATTATTAATTACATTTTAGGAAGGAATCTGTTTGGCTTTAGGGACTTTTTTTAAAATATAGCTTTTATGAGCCCTTCCCTTGTAAATTTTGAAAATATAATTTAATACTAAAATTATAAATATTTATAGCCAATTCGAGCATACTCTATTAATCACTCCATCCTCGGAACCATTGTCGTCAAATAATAATAATAATAATAATAATAATAATAATAATAATAATAATAGTGATTATTAATATGAATATTATTATTATTTGAGTTTTGGCCCTCTTTCACTATTTTTCGCTTGGATTGCCCTGGATCTGTCTGGGGTGTCGTTCTTGCAAATCAATCACTGAACTTGAAGTTAAACTGGTCTGCACATGCAGTGGCGGAGCCGTTTTTCTTTGGAGTTTTCTCCCTTCTTCTTCTTCTTCTTCTTCTTCTTCTTCTTCATCACTGATTTCACGTTACTGTACTTTTGTGGTGAAATGGAGGAGTGAGCTATCTTCCTTCCAACTCTTAAATTTAGTTCGATTGGTCATTTGCAATTCACCAGGTTGTTGTTTTACTTGGTTGAATTTATGGGGTTCTTTCCCCTCTTGCAAGATTTTCGATTGTTCATTCCATTTTTCCACTTCTTTGTGCTAATTTGTTTTGTGAATCGAGAGTTTTCGCTGAATTGCGATTAGCTTATGCGAGTTGAATCGAATTCACGCCGTTTCGATCAATCTCGTGCGATACGGATGATGAAACGTCCGTTTTTAACTGTTACAATGACGAAGAAGAGATGGCCGTTGATGATCTTGGCACTGGTTTCCATTTCCACTGCAACGGTTTTTATTATGCGGACTACGTTTGATTCGTGTAGCGGTGATGGGAATAGAGGTTTTGTGGAAGAAAAGGGTATCGACTCGCAGATTCGATCCTCTCAAATCGAGAGAAAAGCTCCGAATCCTCTTGATTTCATGAAGTCGAAGCTCGTCCTCTTGGTCTCCCATGAACTATCTCTTTCTGGTATTATTGGAATTGTGTTTTCTTTGGAACTTCCCCAGCTATTGCTGTTGGAAGGAAATTTTATGGAAATTTGACTAAGAGCTTTTAGTTTGGGTACAGGTGGGCCTCTTCTACTCATGGAGCTTGCATTTTTGTTGAGAGGTGTCGGTACTCAAGTTTTTTGGATCACTAATCAAATGAGCTCGGAGCCTGATGAAGTAGTATACAGTTTGGAGCGCAAAATGTTAGATCGAGGAGTGCAGGTTATATTCATTTTTTTCAAATTTTCTGCACTTGATCATAAATTTCTTGCAACATTGTTAAATTAACAATCGTTGGTTATGTTGAGAAATGCTATAGAAATCGAGGATTTAACTTTGGCTTCCATAATTGGTTGCTTTGCCCTTTAACATGTTATTGTTTATTTCACAATCAATGATCCTGGTATTGATTATGTTAGCTACTTCGTTTGGAATACTAGTAAATTGTACATGTTCTATAGTTGATTGTGTATTATGTCTGTTCTTCTTTAAAAGAATTCTCACTTGTTTTTTGGTGACTGAGGATGAGATTTTTGTCGTTAAGGTATTATCTGCTAAGGGACAAGAAGCTATTGACACTGCTCTAAAAGCTCATTTGGTTGTTCTGAACACCGCTGTTGCTGGAAAATGGTTGGATGCTGTTCTCAAGGAGAATGTTCCCCGTGTTCTTCCCAAGGTTCTGTGGTGGATTCATGAGATGCGAGGGAACTATTTCAAAGTTGAGTATGTGAAGCACCTCCCTTTTGTTGCTGGTGCCATGATTGATTCACATACAACTGCAGAATACTGGCAAAACAGAACGCGGGAACGATTAGGGTATGATCTCAATAAAGATATGAGAATTTTCATCGTTAATAGTTGATGCTTTTCACTAGTATAATTGTTAGCTAGCTAGGTGTTATCTCATTTCTGTTTCCTTTTTATCCATTCCACATCTTGATTTATTTCTAAAAAATGTATGTTCTATGGAAATCTTTTTGTTTGATCTTGAAGTGTAAAATGTTCCACTAGGTACTTATTTCTATCATTTGTATTATCAAGGACTACTGGTCCACCTTTTTTCCCTGGGCTGTTGAAAGTTACCCCTGCTGTGAGGAAAATTTTAACGACGGTGGTTTGATAGCAACTCTTGCGGACCTACATATTTTCATATCTGAATTAACACCCTTGAAGATATGAGATATAGAGGCGTATGTTTTTGCTTAAAAATATAGTGCAAGTCATAATTCAGATCTCTCCTCACGCTACGTGTGTGCTTGAAGTATTTTGATTGTTTTGCAACTGCAGTTTGTATGCTCTCCTAAATCCTTTGGTCATAATCTAAAAAGTTTCTTATCTTTATTTTTTCCAGAATTAAAATGCCTGAAACTTATGTCGTGCATCTTGGAAATAGTAAAGACCTTATGGAAGTGGCTGAAAATAATGTGGCCAAGAGGGTTCTTCGAGAGCATATTCGTGAGTCGCTTGGAGTTCGGAATGAAGATATATTGTTTGCAATTATAAATAGTAAGCTCATTTTTCTGATGATATGCTTCTGCAACATTAGCTTCTTCATTTATCTATTACTAGGTTGGTTTGTCTATTTTTTTATTTGTTTGTGTGACAAGGCATATTTGACATTTTCTGTTCCTATACAAAATTTTGTTAGCTGTTGAAAAAAAAATTGAAGGGTCAGTCACCGTTTTTTAGAACTTCTTCCTCAAGAATAATATGATGCTCTTCCTGTATATGAGATGCTCTCTGTTGTTTAATTTGTCAAGTCCTGGGAAACTTATTTCCTCCAGCTGCAACAATGAAATAGAATAAAGCCTCTTTGAAGATGCAGTTCTATATAATGTGAACTAATTTGGTTTTTCTTCGACTTAATTTTCAAAGAAGTGTATTAATATGAAGTGTATTGCAACACATAATCGATGTGATTCTAGGTGTTTCACGGGGGAAAGGTCAGGATTTGTTTCTCCGAGCCTTTCATCAGAGCTTGCGAATGATCCAAGATAAAAAGCTGCGGGTACCAAGGATACATGCAGTGGTAGTTGGCAGTGACATGAGTGCTCACACAAAGTTTGAAACAGAACTACGCAACTTTGTCGTTCAGAATAAAATTCAGGATCGTGTTCACTTCGTCAACAAAACCCTGTCTGTGGCTCCTTATCTAGCTTCTATTGATGTTCTTGTTCAAAACTCCCAGGTACTACTATAACTGTTTAACATATATACGAACTCGTGCGAGAAACTATGTGAGATTATTTGTGTATGTTACCGCTAGTTTCATTTCCCCACCTTTGCTTTTGAAAACCTTCCATCTTCCACCAAACGTCAGTTTATAAAAGAAATATTTTAATTCAATGTTAAGTGGCTTCCTAACCTTACTGAACCTTTGGCTATCAATGAAACCAGCATTTAGAACTAGACTGTAACGGGAGGTAGTAAAATATGTTGTAATTTGATTAAACTTTTGGTCATCGAGTATAATGGTCTTGATTTATATTTTGTGTATTGGAACCATATATATGTATATATATATCCACTTTTCCCTGTTTGTTTCCATTCTTTGGGATGAAACCTATTAGATCAATCTTTCTTGGCCTCCAAAGCTCGAATTTACTGTATATGTGTAGGGGAGGGGAGAATGCTTTGGAAGGATAACGATTGAAGCAATGGCATTTCAGCTGCCCGTGCTGGTAAGCTGTCTACCTTGCAGTACATTTTTCCAATTCCACCTCCTTCAGAGAAAACTTCTAAAAATGTTACTGCTCTGTGCATTTGATCTTATTATCTGCTGAATTCCATCTATTTTCCCAATATATATAATATGTATAGGGAACGGCTGCGGGAGGAACAATGGAGATTGTAGTGAACGGAACGACGGGTTTGCTACATCCTGCAGGGAAAGAAGGCGTGACCCCTCTGGCACAGAGCATCGTGAAGTTAGCGACACACGTCGAGAGAAGGCTGACGATCGGAAAGAAAGGATACGAGAGGGTGAGGCAAATGTTTCTGGAACAGCACATGGCCCAAAGAATAGCTGTAGTTTTGAAGGAAGTTCTGCAGAAATCAAAGAGCCACTCTAGCCATTAACCCTCTGTTGTTTTTATGTTACCTTACATGCTTAAGAATATAGACAAATTGAATGAATGCTATAGGAGGAGGAGAATTGTATGCTGTACTTCTTCTTCTTCTTCTTCTTTTTCTCTCTTTTGGTACAGTTTGTTGCAGGAAATCACGTTGCCTAGGAGGTGGATGGTTTCTGAATGTAAGTTATTTTCGTGTTCTTATTTCTTGTTCGGCTAAGAAAACAGGAGAAATTTAGCCCCCTTCCCTCGACCGTCGTAATAACCTAACCATACCGCTAGTAGATATTGACCTCTGCGAGTTTTCTCTTCCGGATTTCTCCTCTTTTGGGCTTTCTTTTCCAAATTTCTCCTTTAGGGTTTTAAAACGCGTATGTTAGAGAGATTTCTAGACTCTTATAAAAAGTGTTTTATTTCCCTCTCCAACCGACCTAACCGATGTGGGATCTTACCAAAAGTGTTTCATGGTGTCTGGTAGTCCGAATTAAAAGGGTAAAATATGAATAGAAACTTTGTTATTTATATATATATATAAAAGAAAAGATATTGGGAAATTTTGAAAATTCAATTGTTTGACATACCCACACCACACCCAATTCTTTATGAAATCTATATATTTTTTTTAATTTCAATTTTATTGGCCATTCTAAAGTTTGAAAAGAAATAAAAACAATGTTTAAAATTGAAAGAGAATAGAATATTTAAAAAATGAATAAGAGCAAATAAATAATTTTTTAAAAAGGAAAAAAAAATGTAAAAATAATAAAGTTGTGGGAAAAGAGATCTTCCGGTTCATACGGACCGTTTTGAGTGCCGATCAATTTTCTTTTCGAATAAGAACATAGATCCGTTCTTGTGGACGGTGGAGGAAGAAGGCTTTGCTGGATCTGAAATGTTTATTGTCTCAGTGAAGCCATTTTTTAGCGTTCTTGTTGTCGGTCTTTGTTTAACCTTGGCGGTGCTTCTCTTGTCGCCGTCCTCTTCGCTTTTCCCCGGCGCTTCAGTCTCGTCTACTCATCAACGGTGCGCTTTACTTTCCCTTTTTCATTATGTTTATGTTCTGACTTCGAGTATATCTTTGGATGATCATGAATTTGAAAGCTGAAATTAAAATGAAAAAATTGCTCGATCTTGGCTTTTTTTTCCCGAAGAAATAGTGAAAATCCTGCTTGAACTTGCATCATTTGAGAATATGTACTTGTTTTTCTTTCTTAATTACTTTATGTTGTTTGCTTTTTCTGTGTGGTTGCACTGAGAGTTGGAGAAATCATAAAGAAATAGGATCTTGAGTGGAATTTCACGAGATGAAGTTAAAATAAGTTTTTCTTTGTCTCAGATCTAGGATAGGACGTATCGACCCTCCTATCTTTCATTCCTCCTCAATGGTGGCCTTTTTTTAGTTCTTTTTGTGAAATCTAGAGTGTAATTAGCAGTTCCAGCTGAAAGACTTGACATAGTTCTTCTACACTACAGAAGATTAAATTGATCCAATTTTAATTGCAGAGGCTACACGGATATATGGAGTCTTCGAAGGATAGCAGAGTGGAGGCCTTGCAAGTGGTGGCTTCAAGGTCACTTACCTGGTAAACTGATTTGATTTCTGGTGACAACTTCTCGTTTACTCTCATGTTCTTTTCTGTCTTTTCAAATTTTTGTCCCTAATGGAATAGTGAGGTTCTTTGATTTGTAAGCCACTACCTTTGGACGAATTATGATGATTTGGGTAGTGGGAAATTCTTGAGTAGGAATTCACAGCAGACAATATGCATGTAATAAGATATAAAAGATTATATGGACTTTATGTTGTACTAGGAAAAATGGTTAGATGGTAACAAGGGTTGGGGGGATTCTGATAGGTTTTGATAGTCTGAGTCAGTTTTAATTGGCTTTCATTGCAGACATTTGGATTGGTTTTTTGTTGAAATGCTGCAGCTCTGCCTGCTGATAGCAATGGATATATACGCGTGGATTGCTATGGTGGGCTCAATCAGATGAGAAGAGATGTAATATTCAATGGTTTTTCTATATTTGTAATTTAACTTTGTTCATTACATGGTTAAAGCTTTCTAGCTAAAAGCTGACGCTCTTTATCATGTGTCCAGTTGTGTGATGGAGTTGGTGTGGCACGGCTTTTGAATGCAACCCTGGTTCTGCCGAAGTTTGAAGTGGCTGCATATTGGAATGAATCAAGGTAATTAATGGCAATATCTTTTAACTTGCCTTCCAAATTCTATTTCGTGCATAGACCTACCTGCAACTTTTTATTCACAAATCCTTGGTAATTCTATTTAACTTGGGTTTTTCCTTATGATGTTATCTATAACATGTTCATTTACTGACTTCTGGGTGGCTAAAGTACTCCAATACATTTTCCACTCACTAAAGAAAATGTTATAAGCTGCTTGCATGTGGTTTAACCTTGCTGTTTTTTTTCCAGTGGTTTTGCAGATGTATTTGATGTTGACTATTTTATTAGTCAGATGAATGGTTATGTAAAAGTTGTTAAAGAGTTGCCACCAGAGTTCCCGTCCAAAGAGCCTCACCATGTAGATTGTAGCAAACGCAAAGGACAGTTCGATTATATTGAAAGTGTCCTACCGTCCCTGCTGGAACATCATTATATTTCAATAACTCCAGCGATGAGCCAGAGAAGGGATAGGTACTTCAGAGTTGTAGTATTCTTTATTATTCGACCTTTTGGTTTGGTTTAGGTCAGTACCATGATAGAACAACGCCCCAATCGGCATCCAAAGCATTGACAGCTACCTCGTTTCACTTTCAATTGTGTGTGCAATGTTGTACAGGAGTTCTTTTTTGCTATCTTCTTTGTCTTTGCTGTAGTTCTCTAATTTCAGTGATGCGCTTAGTCAGTGGCAATGCTCTTAAATATTTTCCTCCCAAAATTCTTTTACAGGTATCCTCAGTATGCAAAAGCTGCCCTATGTCAAGCTTGTTACAATGCTTTGCGCCTTGCTGAACCCGTGGAGGAGAAAGCCAAGAAACTTTTGGAAGCGATACCAAAGCCCTTTCTCTCTCTCCATCTTCGTTTTGAGCCAGATATGGTGGCTTACAGCCAATGTGAATATCAAGGACTTTCTACTGCTTCTCTAGAAGCAATTGAGGCCGCTCGGGTAGATAGGAAACCATGGACCGGAGAGTTAGCCAAAATATGGAGAAAGCGAGGGAAATGTCCTCTCACCCCTCGTGAGACAGCCCTCATATTTCAAGCGCTCCATATTCCAACTAATACAAATATTTACTTGGCTGCTGGTGATGGTTTGATGGAAATGGAAGGCTTTACATCAGTGTACACCAACGTAGTAACCAAGTCTAGTTTCCTCAGTAGCGACGATTTCTCAAACATGCATGGCAACACAAAAGCTGCACTGGATTATTATGTGTCTATTAATAGTGATTCTTATGTAGCAACCTTCTTTGGAAATATGGACAAGATGGTCGCAGCAATGCGCGCATTCAACGGAAAGCAGAGGACATTGTTTTTAAGTCGACGAGCTTTTGCAGAGTTCACTTACAACGGTCTGAAAGGGAAGGAGCTGAATCAAGCATTGTGGAAGGCTCATAGAGATGATTTCGTCATGGGCAGGGGATCTGCATTGTCCGACTGCTTTTGTGAGTTCAAACTCTGAGCTTGAGAACCTCGGGTTTTTCATTTTGGTATCATTTTTCCTCGTGTTTATCTGAACGAAGTTGTCCATGTTGAGTACATGCTGTTCCAGTTAAAATTGTAACCCATCTTTTGATAGAATAGACAATGATCGTTTTGATTACAGCCATTGAACAGGAATATGCTACTTCATTCTTAATCTTTGTCTCTGTGATGCCATTCAACTGTTTGCTCAAATCTTGGAAACCATAAATCATAAGGACTTTGTATGCCTTCAGATTGCTTAAAAATGAACATCCATAGTTTGAAAGTGGTCAACCATTTGTCACAATCGCTCTATAATTGTTTTGTTTGTGCCTTGTAACGCTTTTATTGCTGATTAACTTGAACAGATTTTTTTGATCGACCATAATTTCTGAGGCAAAACATCTAAGGAAACACGAGAAACATCAAAACATCTAAGGAAACACGAAACATCAAAACATCTCAGGAAACACGAAACATCAAAACATCCAAGGAAACACGAAACATCAAAACATCCAAGGAAACACGAAACATCAAAACATCTAAGGAAACACGAAACATCGAGCAAAAATTTGTCCTCTATAATCTCTAACAATCTCCATTGCATTGCTTGAAAAGTGTGGATCTTTGGAGATTAAGGAACAGAGATCTATAAAACAAAAGGAGAAGTGGGTATTTTCTACATACAATTCTTCTACTACTGCGAGTGAGTAGAAGTTTAACTTCACATTATGATTTTATCGTTTAAATTACACTTTCAAAGGAAAATCTTATAAACTTTCCTCGGCCAAACGATCACCAAATCAAAGTACTTATGCTTCCCATCAGCCTCTTCAGAAAGTGTTGCTTTCCAATACTTGTGGACCAGTTTTGTAAAGCCTTGTTAACCCAGAAGCATATCTGAAAAAATTACATGAGTTACGAGAAAAAACTCGAGCTAGAAGGAAAGTATACCGTCGCTTCGGTTTCGCTTACCCGAAAATCAAGAGGATTAGAGCTACGATCAACAAAAAGTACTGATAACATTTGTGCTTGGATTTACGTTTCACATCAGCTCCTGCAGGGATGTACTTATGGTTAACGTATCCGAACTGCGGTTGGATAAGGAGGATGAAGCCGAGGAGAAAGCCCGAAACGAAGCCTCCGATGTGTGCTGAATTGTCGATGTGAGGTATGAATCCGACTGCCAGGTTTAAGGCAATGATCAGAATCAAAGATATGAAGGCTGCACACTGAGTATCAATGAGAAACAAGCCATAAGGTCCCAATGTATAATATGGAAAGATGGAATGGAAAAAGTATTATTTGTTTCTTTTTGGTTACCTTATTTGAATATATTGTCCAATTTGTGATGAGCTCAGAAAGCATAGCGCCCAAAAGCCCAAAAAGTGCACCAGAAGCACCGACTGATATGGTTGGATTTTCAGATGGATTGATACTCAGAGATGACAGTAAGCTCCCACCAAATCCAGAAAGCACATACAAACATCCTATTTTCACTGCCAAAACCAAAAACAAGAACCAAACATGATTTTCTACTGAATATGACTATGACATGTACACGACCATAATTGACAACCCATTAGTTTTTAAGAAATTTAATATGATACTTGTCTCTATTTATCGGCTTAATAAACGTTTGATTGTTTGATTGTAACAACCTAAGCCTACTCCCTTAGGATCCGCTTTAGCCTGTTACGTATAGCTGTCTTCATAGTTTCAGAACACGTCTATTAGGGAGCGGTTTCCACAACCAATTTCATATCTACCTACCTCTCTTGGAGACCCAACGTCCTCACTGGCACACCACTCGGTGTCTGACCCTGATACTATTTGTAACGGTCCAAGTCCACCGCTAATAGATAATGTCTACTTTAGTCCGTTACGTATCACCGTCAACCTCACGGTTTTAAAACACGTCTGTTAGGGAAAGGTTTGCACACCCTTATAAAGAATACTTCGTCTGCCTCTCCAACTGATGTGCGATTTCACAATCCACCCCCATTGGAAACCTCTTCCGAACAGACACGTTTTAAAATCGTGAGGCTAATAGCGATACGTAACGGATCAAAACGGACAATATCTACAAGAGTGGACTTGGTATGTTATATTATACTTGTCCATCAAACTTCAGATACAGATATACAGCCCAAACTAAAGTGTTCATACTTATATAAAACCACTTGTCTAAATTCTTGTACTAAACAATCAAAGTAACTTAACAAATTCTAAAAACACTACAAAAAAACCCTTAAATATTTCTAGGCGAAGCACATAAACAGAGTTTTCCCCCCTTAAAAGCACTTTCTGATACGAAATCATCCCAAACTCTTGCTAAACAAAATCTCTCCCTCCCTCTTGTTCTTAGTGTTTGAACTACATATGTTTGTAGAGTGTTCAAAGTGAAACTATGAATCAACACTTAAAAAAAAAAAAAAAAACAAAGCAGTTTACAGTGTTCAAAAGGCTTACAAAATCCAAATTCTTGTTCGAGCCGAATTCCAATGAAGAGAAGACTGAGCATATTTGCAAGTAAATGAATAACACCAGCATGAAGCCACATACACGAAACCAAGCGCCACCCTTCCCCATGTTCCACTACTGCTTCTTTATCCAATGCTCCATATCGTTTCAAACTGCAAAATACAAAGAACAAAGAACAAAAAAAAAAAAAAAAATCAAACAAAACTCCCCTGTTCTTCTGTTCCTCTGTTCTTCCCCTTCTGCTAAACCCAGAAGTTTCCCCCAAAAATCATGTTTTCTCTTGATGGGTCGTCCAATTTCCTCGAGATTTACAAAACCCATATGCTAATTTTTCGATTAGACGAACACCCAAATCAATGGATTCTTACGTGCTGATGGAAGGACCGAGGAGGGGGTTCTCCTGAAATGGCTGAAAGGAGAACCGGCCGAGCTCAGGGTAAAAGAGGCAGCGGTTGCCGCCGATGGCCGCGGGGCAATTATTTTCATATAATGTGAAAGAAAACATGGCGATATTGGCCAGGAAAGTGAGAGGCACAAGCCATGGGAACCAGGGTTTGGGAGGCGGAGGGTAATAGCTTGGCGGTGGCGGCATTGAGAGGGGCTTTCGGACCTCATAGGACATGGACTCGATGTCGCCCGGCGGCGACCTCTTCCCCATTGCGCGGCGGAGGCGGAGGGGAAGAGTGCACAATAGCGTCGGCGACGACGGATGCTATTGTGCACCAGTTGTTAGAGTGAGCGAAAGAAAGGAGAAATAGCCAAAGAATGGCTAAGAACCCTTCTTGCTAGGATGATCGTTAAGTTAGGTACTTTTTCCAGGAAGTGTAAAATTACTGAATTGCCCACAAGGGGAAATGATAAATACCATATATTTAATTATTTCCTTCCTTTTATTATTTTTTTGCCTTAATAATAAATCAATTTCATAATATCTTAGATAATTATTATTGTAGCTAATTATCATAAAGGGAAATGACAAATAGCTAAATTATTTATTGAATGTGATTTTCTTAAAAAAATTAAAGTTAAAAAAGGCATTTTAAAAAGCAAGAGACGGAATTATTATTTTTTAAAATTTTAGAAATGAAAGCTCATATTTTAAAATTTTAAAAAAGAATATAATTTAGTTTCAAAATATATATCCAGTAAGCATATATCTATAAATTTTTTATACAATCTGAATAAAAAGGGTTAATGTTTAATTATAGATATTTTTTACTACTTATTCAAGTCTTAATTTTTAACATTTTAAGATTATTCCATTTGACTCAAAAAAAAAAAATAAATAAAAATAATAATAATTAATTAAAAATTAAAAAAAATTTGAAAATTAGCCTACAAAAATGGTTTTAAGCCACTATCTATTTATTTAGAATAATATTTATGCTTATGTTAAAAATTTAATTAATGAAAATAATCTAAAATATTTGATAAAAATGAGGAGGGTCTTAATATATATAACATTCGAATTAAATTAATTTTAGCAATTTTTTAATACATAAAATAATATTTTAGTTCTTCGAGAAGGAACAAATGAAACACGATAAATTATTTTATAAATATATAACAGAAATTTGAGCTTTGAAATTATATTTAAATACAAATTCAATTTTAATTTGTACTTTATTAATAATTTAATTATTCTATGTTTGAAAATACATAATTATAATTTTTTTATCCTTTATATGAATATGAAATATATCGGTTTGGAATGCAATAAATATCCCAATAAATAAGACAAAAATTGAAAAAGACTTTCCATTTATGAATGGCTTACGCGTACCGACACGGTTGCAAACACATAAATTAATCATTTTTTCCCAAAATATAATTAGATTTATTTTATTTTAATTTTTCTAATGCCTTTCTCTCTATATTTTCAAGAAAAAAAAAAAAAAAAGAAGGCCAAAATTAAAACTTAATTTTTATTTGTCTCTTAATTTCTAAATATTTGAATTTAAAATTTGGAAGTTTATATTTAATTAGATTTATTAAATTATAGGGACAAAAATAAAAGAAAAGAAATGATAGGGACTAAAATAAAAGAAATGAAAAAGTTATTTTTGTTTATCTTTTTAAAAGATATTTAAAAAATGAAATCCACACGGCTTTGCCGATCCCGCGTTCACCGTCTCCTCGTGGGGGACTTTGAGGAGCTCGACTTGAGCTGCTTTAGCGGATCGTTCATGTCGCTTGACTTTCTCTCATTCACACGTTCCAATAATTTCTTTTCAATTCAATTCTTTATATTTATTTCCATTCCCAACTAATCAGATCTGATCTATTCTGATCTGGTCTGAGCTTCATTTCGTTTCTTCCTTCTTCTCCTCCACAGATTCCGACTTCACTGCGTCTCTCTGCAAATCCAAGTTCGTTTTCTTACTCCTTCTCTTGTTTCATCCATCAGTATCGTTTTGTAAGGGAATCGCGTTGTTGGAGGTTCTGTTAGTGTGTGTTTGTGTGATCTGATCTGTTTATTGTATCTGATTTATATTATCTTGTTGATTTAAGTCTGTTTGATTATGTTCCCTGCAAAATCGGTCGATTCTTAAGTGGATTAAACTTGTTTTTGGTGGTGTAGGTGAGAATGGAAGGTCCTTCGCTTCACGGTACGCTTCACGCCACAATCTATGAAGTCGACAGGTTGCATACTGGTGGTGGATCCAACGTCTTCAGCAAGGTACATCTCTACCTGTCGATGGAAAATTCTTTTGTATTTTGGTCGATTTCTGATTCTATTGCGTTGCCGGTTTGTAATTTTGATTTTTCTTCTCCTAATTCTCAAGTGTGTAATTTGACTGTGAGCTTATGGTTGACTTTTTTCCTCTGGATAAAGTGCTTGTGTTTGAATGTGATTTCGATTAAGTTTTCTGATCTGTGGCTGGAACTGATTTTGGAGAAAATTGGACAATTAGAATCGCTTGAAATTTTGGTAAAGTAGCTTAGATTCAGAAGAATATTCTTCAATTATTTGAGATGTTCAATGATACATAAGTTTCTCCGTCACCAAATGTTTGAATATTCAATGCGTAATCCATATTTCTCTTCAGTGAAAAGTTACTGAATTTTCAGAATGAAATTAAATTAGCCCTGGGTCTGCTTGTTTCATTGTTCTCTTGCCACTGCTTGGAGCTCTTCTGCATAACTCCCTTCAAGCCACAGCGTCTTGGTTTACCAAATAGGATTTTCTTGCCAAAGTTAAAAGGTTTCTGCTCCATGCTGATACTTGATCACAAAACCAAGTGAATTTTGAAATGTTGCTAATTATGATTTTTTTCCTCCAAATTAATAATACACAATTTTTTCTGTATTTTCAGCGTGTAAATGTTCTTTTTAATATTCTTCTGCTGGCACATGCAAAGAGATTGTTACGTTGTACATGTAAACCATTCTCTTAAAATACTATGTACGATCGTACATGTAAGTATTTTTCAGAGGGGCAAATGTAATGCCTTCTTCAGGCGTGAACCAAACTTCTTTCCAACAGCATGAGCTTACTGGAGACAAGTCAAAATTTATATGTGTTAAAATATCACTCTCGTTTACAAACCTATCTTCTTGCTTTTCTTTCATTCAATTGGATTAATGGAGAAACATTTATTGCAGTTAATGCAAAACCTTGAGGAGGCGGTTGGAATTGGCAAAGGAGTTACCAGACTATATGCAACTATAGATTTAGAAAAGGCTAGAGTCGGGAGGACACGAAAATTGGAAAATGAACCCCATAACCCTAGATGGTATGAATCTTTTCACGTCTACTGTGCCCATAGGGCATCAAATGTTATCTTCACCGTGAAGGATGATAACCCTATCGGTGCAAGTTTGATTGGACGTGCATATGTACCGGTGGAAGACATCGTAGATGGGGAGGAAGTTGACAGGTGGGTTCCACTCTTAGATGAAGAAAAAAATCCAATTGAAGGAGAATCTAAGATCCGTGTCAAGCTTCAATACTTCAGTGTTACTAAAGATCGCAATTGGGGTCGTGGTATAAGAAGCCACAAATTTCCTGGAGTCCCCTACACATATTACCCACAGAGACAAGGTTGTAAAGTCTCTTTGTATCAAGATGCTCATATCCCTGATAATTTTGTTCCTAAAATACCTCTTGCTGGAGGAAAGAGTTATGCTCCGTCCAGATGTTGGGAAGATATTTTCGACGCTATACAAAATGCAAAACACATGATCTACATCACAGGATGGTCTGTTTATACAGAAATCGCCTTGATAAGAGACTCAAGGAGGCCAAAGCCCGGAGGAGACACCATGCTTGGTGAGCTGCTTAAGAAGAAAGCAAGTGAAGGCGTCAGAGTTCTTATGCTTGTCTGGGATGACAGAACATCAGTCGGTTTACTAAAGAAGGATGGTCTGATGGCTACTCATGATGAAGAAACTGAACAGTTCTTTCGAGATACTGATGTCCACTGTATCTTGTGCCCTCGTAATCCTGACGATGGTGGAAGCATTGTTCAAGACCTACAAATCTCTACAATGTTCACTCACCATCAGAAGATTGTTGTTGTGGATAGTCCAATGCCAAGTGGAGATTCGAATAAGAGGAGAATTGTGAGTTTCGTTGGTGGCCTTGATCTTTGTGATGGCAGGTATGACACACCCTTTCATTCCCTCTTCAGGACATTGGATACTGCACATCACGATGATTTCCATCAACCCAACTTTCCTGGTGCATTAATAACAAAAGGTGGACCAAGGGAACCTTGGCACGACATCCATTCCCGACTTGAAGGGCCCATTGCCTGGGATGTCTTATTCAATTTTGAGCAAAGGTGGAAGAAACAAGGTGGGAAGGATGTCCTTGTGCAGCTTCGAGAGCTTGATGAAATAATTATTCCTCCATCTCCTGTTATGTACCCAGATGATCATGAAACCTGGAATGTTCAATTGTTTAGATCTATAGATGGTGGGGCAGCCTTTGGCTTTCCTGAGACCCCCGAAGATGCTGCTAGAGCTGGGCTAGTTAGTGGGAAAGATAACATTATTGATCGAAGTATTCAAGACGCTTACATAAATGCTATTCGGCGGGCTAAGAATTTTATTTATATTGAAAACCAATATTTCCTTGGAAGTTGTTTTGGATGGTCTCCTGAGGATATCAAGCCTGAGGATATTGGAGCCTTGCACTGTATCCCAAGAGAGCTTTCCCTAAAGATCGTAAGTAAGATCGCAGCAGGAGAAAGGTTCACCGTCTATGTAGTTGTCCCAATGTGGCCAGAAGGAATACCAGAAAGTGGATCGGTTCAGGCAATATTAGATTGGCAGAGGAGGACATTTGAAATGATGTATAAAGACGTGATTCAGGCTCTTAGAGATAACGGTATCGAGGAGGACCCCCGTAACTACTTGACATTCTTCTGTCTTGGCAATCGGGAAGTCAAGAGGTCTGGAGAATATGAACCTCCAGAGGCACCAGAGGAGGATTCCGATTACATGAAAGCCCAGCAGGCCAGGCGTTTCATGATTTATGTTCACACCAAGATGATGATTGGTAAGCAATGCCCTGTATCTATATTTGTTCCTACGAATTCTCCTTTTTTTCTTTTTTTTTTTTGAACATGTGCGATTTTCTTTATGAAATGACTGGGTTAAACATCTACTGCAGTTGATGATGAGTACATAATTGTTGGATCGGCCAATATCAACCAGAGATCCATGGATGGAGCAAGGGACTCTGAGATAGCTATGGGCGGTTATCAGCCATATCATCTGTCAACCCATGAACCTGCACGTGGTCAAGTTCACGGATTCCGAATGTCCCTATGGTATGAACACCTTGGTATGCTTGATGAATCTTTCCTTCGGCCAGAAAGCGAAGAATGTGCTTCAAAGGTTAACAGAATTGCTGATAAGTATTGGGATCTGTTTTCAAGTGAAGCACTTGAGAGGGACTTGCCCGGTCACCTCCTCCGCTATCCCATCGGCATAAGCAGTGAAGGTAATGTGACAGAGCTCCCAGGATTTGAGTTCTTCCCCGACACCAAAGCACGTATACTCGGAACCAAATCTGACTACCTCCCCCCCATCCTCACTACTTAGTCATGTTTCCTACTCATACACAGAAAGTTACTTTTTCGTGCCATCTATTTCCAACAGGCATCTTGTGTTTGTAACTTGCAAAGACTGTTCTTCAATACTCTGGCTGTAACTTTGGCTTTGTTTCTTGGTTTGAGGCTTACTTCAAATAGTTGCTAATGTAACTTTGGGCTGTGTTTCTCAGTCTCTGGTTTACTTCAATACTGGCTAATGTAACTTTGGCTGTCTTTCTTTATGTTATAATGTTTAGCTTCGTTTTCTTGTGGTTTTGTACTATTCGTTAGTCCAGGCTTTCAGTCTTCACGAGATAAAACTTCATAAATAGTTCTTATGGTTTGATGAATCTGTTAGGAGGGTAAATTTATTGCCCTAGTTCATTAATTTTTAAGTAAAGAACGGTAAATAGATCATACAAAGTTTAAAGTTCCAGATTAAACTTGTAATTTAACGGGCAATATTTTTCGAGAGCTGCTCTCTCCAATCCAAGTAAGACATCTACTTGTGCTCTTCTCTTGCAGGTACCAATCAATCAACTTCATAAACTCAGGCAATCTGAACCTCAAATTGCAGCACAAGTGATGGCAATACCCATCCAATGATCACTTAAAGCAAACTCCACAATAATCCTACCCTCACTTCCACCAACTAAAACTCTGCATGGCAGAAGAGCTCATTCATCAACTAAGCATGGAATTCCCCATAAAGGACCTTGGCCCCTATACTAATTCCTAGGGATAGAAATCCTATACACCCTTTAGGGATCAACCTATCACAGTTAAAAATATGTTCAAGATCCCGTCAATAAAACTGGAATGTCAGAAGCAGCTCACCTCCACACCGTTACAGCCCAAATCTACGGCTAGCAGATATTATCTTCTTTGAACTTAAAAACGCGTCTGTTAGGGAGAAGTTTCTACACTCTTATAAAAAAATGTTTCGTTTTCCTCTTCAACCGATGTGAAATCTCACAATTCATCCCCTTCGGATCCTCGCTAACACTCGTTCCCTTCTCCAATCGATGTGAGTCCCCTTTGGGGCCAGTGTCCTTGCTGGCACTCCGCCTCATGTCCTCCCCCTTTGGGGTTCAGCCTCCTCACTAGCACATCGCCCGGTGTCTGGTTGTGATACCATTTGTTACAGTCAAAGCCTACCGCTAGCAGATATTGTCCTCTTTGGTCTTTCCCTTTTGGGCTTCTCTCAAAATTTTTAAAAAGCGTCTGCTAGGGAGAGATTTCCACACCCTTATAAAGAATACTCCGTTCCCCTCTCGAACTAATGTGGGGTCATTGCAATACCTAACCCTCAAAAGACTAAGACGACCTAAAGGCAGTTAAGTTGTAATAGTTCAAGTCCATCACTAGCAGATATGGTCCTTTTTGCCTTTTCTTTTGAGCTTTTCTTCAAAAATTTAAAAACACGTATGATAGAGAGAGGTTTCCACACCTTTATAAAGAAAATGTTTCGTTCCCCTCTCCAACCAAAGTAGGATTTCACACAAGTGGATATTATGATACATCAGCATCTTTTTGTCCGTGCAACAAATTTTATATGATGGAGTTAAAATACATAAACCACTCTAGCTAGATCAAGCTCAGAGGCAGAGTATAATAGAGCTATGGCATCAACAACAGCAGATCTCACGTGGATTATGTGAAGTTCAAATCCTAAAACCATCTCAATCCATATAACCAACAATTCGGTGCCTTTTTCAAAGTACACCATGGAGCCTCTCTTCATATCTATGAAACCCTCGAACAACCTACTCTTAATCGAGATTCAATTTTTTCTTTAGTTTCCTCGAACAAAGTACACCTTCGAGGCTCACAATTTCTTTATTCGACATTTGAGGATTCTATTGACATAACTAAGTTAAGGGTATGGCTCTAATACCATGTTAGCAATTGTGGACTTTCACAATGATATGATATTGTCCACTTTGAGCCTAAGCTCTCATGACTTTGCTTTTGGTTTCCCTCAAAATGCCTCGTACCAATGGAGATATATTCTTTATTTACCCATGATCAACTCTTTTGATTAGCGAACGTGGGACTTCTCTCCCAACCATCCTCAACACCTTCATCCCTAAGCTAATTGCTTCATGCATTTAACAACCCATTATAATCATATAATAAGCATAGTTGATAATGTTACGTACAAACAAAGTCTCACATGGGTTAGGAAAGAGAATGATTACGGATATACACATGAGGATGATTATTTCCATTACTCTTGGGTGAAATAAAAAACAAAGCCAGATAACATATATTTAAAGTGGACAACATCATATGAGAGTGTGGAGATATGTTGGTGGACGATATTCCTAACAAATGATATCAAAATGCCTTTGATTTAGCGGAATTGGTGTCTCAAGATGACACAGCCGTGGTGATCCATATCTGAGCTTAACCTAATTAAAAGTGATTGCACGAAAGTAAACATGAATGGATGACTATTTGAGGGGAGGCTTGGTAAGACCTTTTTTATTCGAAGAGACGATTGCTAGAATGCGACCAAAACTCCACATGGACTAGAAAAGAGAAGATCATGGGTACGTAAGTGAGAAACAATATCTTCACGGATCTCGTTTAATATTGTATGCAGTACATTATTTTTATTTTTATTTTTTTGAATTGACCTTAAAATTAACGAAGTCTACCCTAAACCATTCGGGTTAGTGGACATTATAAGAAACTTAATCTTGACCATCTGTACAACTTCCACCACCTTCTTCTGAATAAACTATTGTTTTTCTTTGGGTTTATGTTCAAATTCAACCAATTGGACCTTTCTGTAATGGAAACCATCATGAATGCATCAAGCATCAAGGGTGGTGAAGAGGGTTGGTGATATATTCACTAAAATCACACTAAAATCACACTAATCATTTTTATCTACTTTTTATATTTCAAGTTGGAGCCAAAGTTTTGGTCTAAAATGTCAAAATTAATTAAAAAAAACAAAGATATTTAAGCTATATTGCTCCAAAACCTAGAATCCATTGAGCATGCTTAATCTTACTAAATCACTCGAAATCATTTCTTACCTCATTTTTATTTTAAATAATTTTCGATTCTGCGTTAGATTTTGACAATATGCCATCAGGGGTAAAATAGTCATTTTCTAAAAGTATAGACGGCCAAAGGATTTGAGTCGACCGTAGTAATTCTCTCAATCATTTTCTTAAATCGTCAATGCTTAATCATTTGCGTTTCCACAAGGGAAGTGTTTATTTAAGAAACACTCTTTCCCACAGCCTCAAACCACAGAAAGCAAGAAAAATGAAGTCCATTGTTGTAATATGCTTCATTCTGAGCTTAGTTGCAGGCAGGTCCACAGCCTCCTTTGGGAAGTGCTACGCCAAGTGCTTCATTGTGTGTGCTATCACACCAGGCGTCCCTATTGGCACATGCGGCGGAAAGTGCTTGGCCGATTGCCTCTTCCTTGCCTCTGCCCCTAGAGATCTCAACCGTTTGGACACTCATTATTTCTGCAAACTTGGCTGCGCCACTTCTCTCTGCACCAAATTTAGCACCAAGACAGACCCGGGTGGGTTAGAAAATTTTTAATACTCTCGTAATATTTGAAATTTTTTTATTGTTAGTATCATTTTTAAATAGCGATTAACGTGTTTATAGCTAACTTTCCTACACGCTTTTGACAATGTTTTTAATGAATTTGGCAGCTGAGAAGAAAGTGGAAAGTTGTGTGAACTCGTGCTCTCGAACATGTTTGAAGGCTTAAAACTGAGGAGCTGGGACTGGCTTTAAAGACAATAAGTGTCGGTGGTGAAGACCAAACACCATTGGACTCTAAGCTTGTCCCATATCTACTAAGCATGTTTTGATATATCTATATGCTTTCTAGTTTCTGCATGTACTCGTCCTCGTCCTCGTCGTCACTGTGTAATAATCAAGGTTGCTTTTCGTTGCTATAGTACTGGGAATGATGTTTGGTGATATTTAGATTAGCTCACGATCAAAACTTCATTTATTCTACCCAATATGATTTCATGTCTAGTTAAAATCACATCAGTTAATAATTAGTACGACGGCAGAAAAATTTAATGGTACAACAACATACAACATACGTTGTATAAAACAGTTCCTTTCGGGGTTCATTGCTCAAATCCACAGCTAGCAGATATTGTCTTCTTTGGGCTTTTCCTTCCAGCTAGAAGAGGTTTCCACACCCTTATAAACAATGATTCGTTCTCCTTTCCAATCAATATGGGATATCACAATCTACCCCCTTCGAGGCCCACAATCAATATGGGATATCATAAAGAATGATTCGTTCTCCTTTCCAATCAATATGGGATATCACAATCTACCCCCTTCGAGGCCCACAATCAATATGGGATATCATAAAGAATGATTCATTCTCCTTTCCAATCAATATGGGATATCACAATCTACCCCCTTCGAGGCCCACAATCAATATGGGATATCATAAAGAATGATTCGTTCTCCTTTCCAATCAATATGGGATATCACAATCTACCCCCTTCGAGGCCCACAATCAATATGGGATATCATAAAGAATGATTCGTTCTCCTTTCCAATCAATATGGGATATCACAATCTACCCCCTTCGAGGCCCACAATCAATATGGGATATCATAAAGAATGATTCATTCTCCTTTCCAATCAATATGGGATATCACAATCTACCCCCTTCGAGGCCCAACATCCTTGCTGATATCATGCTGGCACTCGTTCCCTTCTCCAATCGATGTGAAACCCTCTTGATTGACGGTAGACAGACATTTAAGCTTTTAATTTTGGATAAAAACTTGTACGCACAACACTTCATAACAAGAACAGCTGAAAGGAGCTACTAAAGCCCTTCTGGTTGTTTCAGGATACCATCAGCATAAAGAAATGAAAGGCAGCATAGCGGTGAAGAGCACCTCAACTTGTTTCAAACATTAGTCTCAATAGGCAGTATACTTCTGATATCACAATGATCCTATATCCAAATAACAAAAGTAGCATTCTGCATTTCTATCTTTTTGGAACAAAAGCTGGTTCATATCGCAAAGTTTAATGGACAATTATGAGATTCTGTCAAGGATTCCCTAGTTTAGGAGCATATTCAGTATGAAGATATGTTCCACCCACCAGATATGAACAGAAAACGAGTCTACGACGACAAATTAAACTACAACAAAATGCGTAAGATTCTACGACTCTGCTACATGATGGCGTACGAAATGCTTGAGCTGTAGGATAACCTCTGATAGACACTCCAGAGCAGGAAATATGCAGCTTTGCTTTTCTCCACCAAGTATAACTTTCAAGTATTGAGTCCTTAAGGAGAATTCTCTGGCGTTTTCAGAACTGTAGAAGAAGCCTTGCCTTTATGCTCTGTGACTGCTGCACGAAACTCTTCCACTATGGATGCGTCCTTGAACTTCAAAGCAAATGTTGAAAGACCATCCTTCCCTTCGCTAGTGCTGTTCATGCAGGCAAATGTGATACCCTTCTTGTCCATGTTTGTGAGCTTCATGTCAGGGTAAAGACTTGCATTCAAAATTAACCTGTAATTTCCTCTAGCCCTCATCAGAATCCTTGCTCGCCCAGTACCAATTGTCGGGACATTAACTTTCAGCTCTCCTTTTCCACGTTCCTTCCACGATCCGTCGAGAAACTCGAATAATATAGAATCAGCATTGAAAACCACACGTTCATTTTCTTCACCAGTTTCAACTGCAACCTCTTGCATTGATGGAAAACCGCTTTTCTCACTCTTGGAAACAGTGGAAGAAGTATTAAACAAGGCTGAGCTACCATTATTAGAGAGACCAAAACTAGAACTTAGACCAGCCCCATCCTTGAGTACATTACCGAAGGAGAACGTAGTAGTCGAAAATCCGGTACCTGCAAGACCTGTGAAGGCGTTCTGGCTACTTGACAGTTGTTGGAATGAGCTCAACGGAGAAGCCTCCTTACTAGTATCGGCTTCACTTCCCTCTTCTTTCTTTTCTTCATGTTCTACCTTTTCTTGATCCCCAGTTTCTTTGTTTGGCATTTCATTTCCTTCACAGGGTTCTTCATTTTCATTCTCATTGCCTCGTGCAGGATCCTCGTTCTCATTCTTACCGCCACTAACACAAGCATCATTCTCAGCATTATCACCTCCTATAAGTTCCTCATTTTTAGTCTTATCTTCTCCTGCTTGCACTTCATTTTCAATTTTATTACTTTCAGCAACTAAGTTATCATCTACCTTAGGTATGGCAGATTCACTTACATCAGTGCTATTCTGATCAACATTCTGCACATTTGTACCAGATTCAGCCTCCGATGTGTCAATTTTATGTTCTGCTGGCTCATCATTATGATCTCCATCCTTTTTCTCTTCATGGGAAACATCCTTTCCATTTGCCTCATCTGAACCTGTTTTTTCACCAACTGCCTGCGCAGTACTTTTACCTTCTGAAGCACTTCCACTATTATCGGTTGGAGGTACCAAGCGTATTCCTGCAAAGGGATTAGAAGATGGGGTAGAGGCAGTCTGACCACGACGTACTTTGACAATTCTTCTGCCGGCTAGCACTTCATCACTAGCCCGCTTAAATGTTCCAGTTGCTTGCTCAGACACATCATCTTCATCATCAAGCCCAGGGTTATCGCGTGATAGTTCCCTTCCAGCAGCCCTCTTCTTTGTAGATGTTGCATTTTCAGCATCCCCCATTGAAGAGTCAAGCAAATCAACCAGACCTTGGGATTTCCACTAGAAAGCAGAAACTGAAAATCTATATCTGGAGATTGTACAAACATTATTACTCAACAAGTTCATAGGAAACACTTTTCTTACAAATACAGACAGATTAAGCTAAAATTTAAAAGAAAAGCCAAGAGAGAAAGGTGAAATAAAACTAACAACTAAGAGTGAATAGGGGCAACAAAACTGACAACTAAGAGCTGAGAATTACAAATAGTTTATCTCTATTTTAGACAAGATAAGTAAGCAATCTCTTTAGGCCATTTGTTTCAGATGTTTAGATGAAATTGAGATGCACGAAATAGGATCTCTGGGTCTGGATATGAAATATATGAGATTAAACAACTTCTGTGTTTGATCTTTACATGGAATCGCTCATAGAGATTCTCATGAATAGAAGATGTTTGCTTTTGTTTGAAAACTTTGGAATTTCTATTTTGGAACTTATTCATCAACATTATTGATGTAAAATCAAGTAAACACACTAAAAGAAATTTAAATTAATCAATAATAAGCATAAATTTCATGTTGATCCTTAAGATTTGAGTTGGGGTTTCTAGATTTCAAAAACTATTGACACAATCCCTGGGCTTTAAATGAAAGGTCATGTATGGTGCCTAGAAACAAACAACCCTTAGTAGAAGTAACATGGCAATGAAATGTGCTTATATGACATATTATTGTATTTTATAATATTAATTATATCGGTGCATCAATCATTTTTCATATTGCTTATGTGGCAAAATTTATGTTCAAGTTACTAAATTTAATTAAACCACAAAAAAATCTGCTATCCCATATCCTTCTACCCCCCCCCCCCCCCCCCC